GCATAGGCTTAATATCTGTGCAGCAATCTAAGAAAAAAAATCTCAGACAAAGATTGTTATGGAATCTCGTCTCTATATAATCGTCTAATTGTCTGTGCTACAATAATCTTTCGAGGTTATGAACTGTGGAACAGTAGGAGATGTTGGAGTACACTTCAACACATGAAGTGTTTTCCTAACTCTGACATGACTAATCTATTTTAACAACACAAGTACCGTAGTAGACTACCTGACAAAGGTACTGCAAACAGCTGGATGACACTTTAGGATGACAGAGTAGCTTTCTATGTCTAATGCCACGTCCACATCATGAAGTAAGGACGGAGGCTACAAGCTCAGAACATCGTACAGTACAGTCAGTGGAGGATGAATAACTGCAGGAAATGTACTGTACATGTTTTCTCTTTAATACCTTTAAGGAAAATACAGTATCTCTGTTCACACCAAGTACTATAGTCATAGTGAACAGGTGGAATCTAAAGTGGGATGCAGCTGTACATTCTAACATCCCCCACCAAAAAATAAATAAAAACATGAACTTCTGTTGCAATTACGTCAAATATTTTCTTGATTAGCAGTTTATCCTTGCAGTGTGGCCAGAAGGAAAATACAGCCAGACGGGTCCTACCCCATTAAATGGCAAAACTATGCCCTGCACACCACATTAATACAAATGAACAAAGGAACACACTATTAAAGTGTAAATTGTTTGCAAACTGCTCCGTGTCTAGCCGCTGTGCAGCTGAGCTAGTAGCATCTTAAATTGTTGTGACGTGTATTTTTCTTCAGTCTGTCTCACATTACGAACCACAGGCGTGAGCAGGGCATCAGTTGATGATCTGATTGGCATTTTGAGCCTGGCAGTGTTTCGATGTCTGTCTCAGTCATGCCGATGTGATTGGTCGCTCTCAAATCACATACAATGTTTGTTATGGGGACATTGAAATTGTCAAATTATCGTACATTTGGCCTTTCCTGCAATTATTGATCGTACATCGTACAGAGGGCAAAATGATGGTACAAATACGATAGTTATCGTCTGGTAACAGTGAGACCTCTTGGTCTATACATCACATTCTTTCAGATGAAAATCACTGAGAACATTTCGGTGAGAAGTGTCAGTTTAAAAAAGTTACACCGCTGAGAGTTAGAATATTATGATATTGTGATTTTTAAGATTGTAAGTAATAAGACCACTGTCTTATTACTTACAATCTTAAAAATTACAATATAACAGGGAAGCAACTGTTCCCGTAAGCTATACAATTTGATCTACACCTTGCAAAAGAGGATTTGAAGCACAAAAATCTAAATGAACTCCCTGTTTTTTTCTAAATGTATGGCCTCATTGGCTGTGCCGAAAGTGTAAAAAAAGCTGATCAAGGAGCAACAAAAGTCAAGAGAAATCTTCAATCGCTTCTTCTTGGCATCTTCAAAAGAGTTTGAATTTGTGATTACTTCCAAGCCGTCGCTTTTTTGGCTGCCAAGTTGTTCTGCTGGTTATCCGTGTGAGATGTAAATTTGAATGCAGAGCGTTTCAACACATGTAGCATGTGGAGAATCCATTTGAGTTGTCCATGGCTGAGCAATGGGCTTTATGGAAGACCTTCAGGGCACTATAGGGTGTTAGGGTGAAAGGCTTTCACAGAAGTGAATAAAGATGGCAGCGTGCATACGGGAAACAGAATCCTATTTTACACACCACTACAAACAGAGCTTTAATTTGTCTTCCCTACCCATAATCCCTTTGGTTAATTCATCATTCTGTTTGATCCAAGTGGTCGTACATGTCACCTCCAGCTACTCAGAGGATCTTACACTGTGTGTTCATAGAGAGGAGTAAGTGTGAAATTGAGCTCAATTTTGGCTTTATCTTTTTTTTCTGCATGTGTGACAAACAGGTGACAAGTCGTCATAGTGCATCCTGTATGGTTTCGAGTGTTGCGTACAAGCGTGAGAGCATAACAATGCCATCCTATTCCGTCTCTTCTCGCTAAACGAAATTCGTCCTCTTCCCTCTTTTCCCTTTCACAGCTCAGCACTCATTTTAATTAGCTCGCTGTCTGATCTCTCTTTCTTCCTCTCCCTCTATGATAACTCTCCCTCGTTTCCTTTCCATTTCGGTGTCTCTCTCACTCTTTCGCTCTCATTACAGTCATTTCTCAGTGTAATTAATGAGCTGATATCTCGTTTTGTGTCACGAGGGTCACGGCTCTCTCTCTCTCTCTCTCTCTGTGTGCGGGGCCAGTAAATGTGAGTCATGCGCCAGCACTCTACTTGGCCGTCGCTCTGTCTTCCTGCTCTTCTTTCTCTGCAGTTAAATAGCGAGGAAAAGAAAAATCAGGGATTGTGTGACCTACGACATTGCAGCAGATTTTAACTCAGCAATTACACAGAGAAATGAAAGAGATGTACAGAGAGAAGGACCACACAAGTGGACTAGACAAAGGTCTTAGCCCCGGGTACTGATTTGATAACATGAATATGTAGCATTTATTCTCACCCAGAGGAGAGCTTTATCGCACTGACTCCTGTTAGATGGTGTCAAATTCTGAATCATATACTACATTGAAATTCGAAACCGACCCCGTCATTGTACTTTCTAGAAGTTATCGACGAGTCCTTTGACGCCTATAAAATATTAAACCATGACAGCTCCTGAACTTGTCCAGATCAGGTTTCCTGGAAGGCCGTTTCAGGGTCAGCCTTCAGGGGTATGGAGAGTGATGTCGATAAATCCCTTGGAAGACCAAAACTAACAGTAGACTGGTTTTAGTAACTGCCTTTGTGTTCAAAGCCTGATTGGTCCTGCCTGTGTCAGTTCTCCATTGTTGTTGCTTCTTTATTTACTCATCCCATTAACATGCAATTTGTGTCTGGATATATGACCTAAATAAAGAACAGTGCACATCATACTTTGTTCCAAATCGCAATCTAGGGATTCAATGCTATGTCAAAAATAAAATCCACCTTTGTGCTGAAGGTTCAAGCATTTGCTGCAACGTAAACTCCACAATCTGAATGAATGATGCTTTTCTTTACTTGGCTGTGTATGTTTATTAGCAAGCCTCCATCCCCTATCATGCTAATCTGTTTACTGAGCTCAGAAGCATGTTTAAAAGTGCACTATGGAGTTCAAACAATGTTTGAAGATAAAATCGCTAAATAAAATGTCAACACCTTAACTGTACACATAGTGAGGGCAAATCACAGCCATCTGAGAAGAGCTGTTCCTTTCCAAAACCAAAACGTTTTGCAGCTTTTCATAGACTATCTAATTTGTATTTTACACCACTGTATCATCTCATGACATGAACACAGTAATTAGGATAACCAACTGAAATAGCTTGCTTTGCAAATCATGTACTTTCCTTTGGATTAGATGTGGGTTTCTTTTTTTTGGGGTGGCAGTTCGGCTCAGTGGTTAGAGTGTGTGCCTCACGTAGAGAGGGTATACTTCTCGTTGCAGCAGCTGTGGGTTCAAATCCGACCTCAGCCCTTTGCTGCATTTCATCCCCAACTCTCATTTCCTGTCTCTCTCCAGCTGTCCTCTCCATGAAATAATGGCCCCAAAATAACTTCATTCTTTTAAATTCCTATTTATTTTCCCTGAAAAAAACATGCTGTTTTATTTCCATTGGTCCCTGATTAATTATTTACTTTTCACAACTGATCAGATTATTGATAACAAATCAGTCAGTGTTCAGTATCAAGTGTAGTGCTAATACATGAAAAAGGCCTTATTGACAATGTTTTAAGAATTAATTTGAGTCATTACTAAGAGCAGTTTGGCATTTGTTTGTTTGTTTGTTTTTGTTGATATTTGTAACCATTTCCTCAGCCAGTGTTTAGGCTTCATTAAAAATGCACAAATGTTTTTCTTCCTTTCAGGCCATCATTAAGATTTTTTATTTTTTTTAATTAAGACAAAGAAGCAGAAGAATGAGAAACACAATAATAAAATCCTGTTAAGGGTTATAACTGATGAATAAAGCAACCATTTTATAAAAAGAAATAACTTACTCATAATTTAATCTTTAAAAAAAATGATTATTATCATACATAAAACTTTTGTAGCACACTCTTCTTCACTGACATAATGAGTCACTGGATCCAGCTGTGTTGTTGTGTGGGTGAATTAATGAGTATTAGCCTATTTCTGCGTAAATGTGTGTGTTTGTGTGTTCTAAGGTATGCGTGTGTTTGCACTGTGATCCCTTTAATCCTGATTCTCCCATGTCCTTCAAGCCCCAATCAAGGTTGGCATTAATGAGCATTTTCTCTCTCCCTGCCGCACCCTCCCTGCTCTGTCTCTCACTCTAAACCTTTCACTAATTAACTTCAACCACTGCTGCTTACTAATGATGACCGAATGTGTGCGTGTGTGCATGCATGTACACTGCTGAACAAATGAATGATACTCCTCTGGTTTGATTAGCAATGCCTAGCAGATTCGGTTCTGATTTCAACTCAGAGGCCTTTGGGTTCCTCTGTTCATGTCTGGTGATTAAGATTTTTTTAACTCCATCGGGATCAAATTAGCTGCTGGTGTGAAGTGTAATACGTGTTTTGGAGTTATTCACTGATGTGCTAAAGTACGCTCTCAATGCACCTCAACACAATGCCTTGACAACAGGCCCTTTAAATGTGCAAGTCATTCCCCATATTTCAGTTATCATTCAACCCCTTACACTCAACATGCCATCTAGCTTTCTGCTTTCAGAGTGTCATCCAGTTTAGTTGATAAGGAAGCAAGTACAGTGGGTGTGAAGTAGTCTATAAACCCAGTGTACCATGAGTAATACTCAACACTGGAGAAGTGTGAAGCACACAGGCTCTGCAAACTGAAGATATCACAAACACACTGGGAAGGTATCCAAAGACAAATGCTTAATTATTCCCATTAACTTAATTAGGTAATGAAAGCTATATTTCTGTCTGGTGTCATTAACTTCTCAATTTCTCTCTCTCTCTTTGTCTCTGTCTGTCTCATTTTACAGGTGTCGTGTCCAGGTGGGTTGGTAACCATGGAGAGGCTGTTGCTGTGCGTGATGCTGGCAGTTGCCATGGCGGTGCGGGCACAGATCTGCCCGAAGCGCTGCGTATGTCAGATCCTGTCACCCAACCTGGCAACCCTCTGTGCCAAGAAAGGTCTACTGTTTGTACCGCCTAACATTGACAGGCACACAGTGGAGCTACGGCTAGCTGACAACTTTGTCACAAGGTAACAGTCACATCCATACTGTTACCTGTTGTTACCTGTCCTTCCTTCCAGGGAAAGCATTAGATTGTAGTGTTAAACTTAAAAAAAGAAAATCTAGATAATGACATAATGACAGAGGAACCAATCACACAGCTCTCTGATAGGTTTCTTTCCCGCTAAATAGCCAAAGGGTGATCCTTAGAGGTGAAGCCATGTTGTGTATAGGTATTGGCAGAACATTATATTCAGAAATCCATTTAACTGTAATTTTGGAAATTATGAGAAAAGTCCATCCTCTCCATCTTTTTCCTGCTCCACTTTTCAGAAAATGTGTGCTCAAACAGGCCGTTTTTGAGATTTGTATCTTTGTGACATCACAAAGGGCAGTAACCACTCCCCCAGGTGGGTGGCACTCCCACAGCTAGGTGTTTGTTCTGCCCTCTCTATGTACCATCTCACCATACACAATAGGGCATGGAGCGAGACAACGCAAGCCACCCAAGCCCTTCCAGAAGAGCTTAAATACAGGATGGAGTGGATTTAGATAATACAACTTCACAGACTCGTTGTGGGACACTTATTTAAACTTTTTTTAAAAGAGTATAATATGTGTCCTTTAAGTCTTCATACTCAAATTTGTTTTTGTCTGATCACCTGCAAGTGCTACAACATTTCCACTTTCCAACTTTTAGTTACAAATATGATTCTCTTGGTCTCGGCTATTGTAGCATGCTCTTACCAGAACTGAAATTGGTATCACACCCTGTGCTGCCTTAGAAATGGGTTTAAATCTTTTATCTTTACACAATGTGTCAACTAAACTGTGCTGAATTTTATGTAAATAATGGTTACAAAGAAACTACTAAATGTGAAGGTGAAGAATAGATAAAAGAACAGCGAGAGAACATCACTGGAGGGCATCTTCTCCAAGACGAAGTAAAAGACACTTACTGCAACTGGCAGATAACGAGCATTTTATTTTCATTTTATATTTCTACCTCATGATATCAACCTATATTAGAGCATGCACACATTATGACTGAACTTTTTATTAACTGATGTGTGAGAATGAACAACTTTTTCCCAGAACTGGAAATAGAGACGCTGATCTATGATGTCATCAGGCAACAAAGCCTGCAGCATCTCCGGCACAGATGAATAATCACAGAATTTTTGGACAGAATGGCGTTACCCTGGGTGCTTTTTTTCGCTGATACTAGAACAGTATCCCCTGGCAGTGCGATGAAATAAAACTCATTTCAGTGGTTAAAAAAAACACATTCTGTGGGGCCCCAGAGTAAGTCATAGTCGGTTCATATTCACTGGAGCAGCTCAAGGCTGTCTCTTGATGGCAGTGCAGTTTAAGACCACAGTTCTTTGGTTTGCAGTCTGTGGGAGAGATGTTCAAACTTACAAATATTGAATGAGCTACCCAGGAATAAAGGAATGTCTTTTTTTGAAGGAATTTCTCCTTCTAAATATATAAAGAACTTTTTTAAACACTATATAGGGCTTCAGGGTATGGCCATCTTGGTTGCATGTTGTTTGTGGAATAGGTGGGTTTCTTGCTTAAAGCTAAGCAAGTCACCTACTTCATCTTTCTCCCTGGCCACTGCCAGGAAAAGATAGGAATGTGCTCATCTCTGTGAGTGAATATGAATCAATATGGAATAAGTGGGTGAGGTACAAGATATTTGCTTTTGGAAGCATTCTGTGGTTTTTGTTGTCGTTGTATTGGCCATTATTATTTTACTATCATTATCGAAGGCCATAGCAAATAAGTGGAGAGATACCAAAATAACTTTTAATTTAGCTGATCGAGTTATAATAATTATATATATTGTAATTTGTGAAAGAGATCAGGTTTGGTCGTAGGTAGAGTCAGTAGTGTAAGTAAGTGGTGGGTGTCTTTTTTTGAAGGAATTTTGAAGGTGGGTGTGTGTTGAAAGTGTATGGTGCACTTGTTGGATTCAAAAACATGAGGTACCCAAACAAGATGCATGCAGAAAATCTCTCTGAGCAGACTAAGGTGGCAGCTTTTATAATGTGTGTGAACAATGGACCCAGGTGCTCTCAGTCAGGCTGATTGGACAGCCACACCTCCCAATTACATACAGTATATTGGCTTTGATTGTATGCAGGACAATGGGTGTGGAGGGAACCAAAGATGAAAGCATTGGCACAAATGTATACAGGGAAATGATTGACCTTTTGGATTAACCTTTTTAATTAATTTATTTCATAGACATCTGCATCTTAATACAGACATTGATCTGGTTGTGGATTTTAGGTCATTATACTTCATCATATCAGCTGTTTGATTGAAATATGAACAGCACATTTAAACTAAGTTTCGGCCCAGTTATTATTTAGTTGTGAGAATTTCAACCGCCACATCTGCTACCAGAATCCCAGAAATATTGGCCTTCACCTGCATAAGTTAATTAATTGACGATGAGAGCAGATCACTTCCAAGACTTGGCCAGTGTTTAATGCTAAGAGAAAAGGCATACATTATCTATGGGGACTGCTTAGTGTAAGTGACTGTAAGGTTATGTAGGAAGTCACTCAAATGATAAGAGAGCTGCAAGTGCTTGAGTTAGACTTTTTGGTTTGAAGGTATGGGATTGTAAGTATACTCCTGGGAAAAGAATTACTAGTTGAGCTAGAGCAGCACAAACACACTCCAGCTGTACAGAACTGAACAAAAATCTTCTTTACCTTCATTTATCCACAGTGTGAAGAGGAAAGACTTTGCAAACATGACACGGCTGGTGGACCTTACATTATCCAGAAACACCATCTCCTACATCACACCTCATGCCTTTTCTGATCTGGAAAACCTCAGAGCGCTACACCTTAATAGGTATGGAATCATATAACACTGAAGATCTATATGTGTGTATTTGATATAATTTGTATTGTTTGGACAAATATTTGGTAATAAGGTTTCCCAAATGTTACAAAAGTTGCATTTTGACAAAGATTTTGGCTTCATCCATCTCTCTGCTTGTTCTATCTGCAGTAACCGTCTGACGAGGATAGGCAATGATACATTCAGCGGGATGTCAAAGCTCCACCACCTGATTCTGAACAACAACCAGCTGGTGCTCATCCACCAGGGAGCATTCAACGACCTGCTGGCTCTGGAAGAATTAGACCTCAGTTACAATAACCTGGATTCTATTCCTTGGGAGGCCATCCAGGTCAGGATCTCTTTATACTGCAGCAGCCTTGGCAGACTACCTGTAGTGCTAGAGGCCCTTAAAAGAGTCGATTCCCCCAACACAATAAATTGTCCATAAAGATTTTGGCCATTTATATAAAATTCAAATAAAGACATCTTAGGGGCTTTTGGCTTTAAGTGCTCTGTTCATTAACTCCGTCAAGAGTTTCTATTGATCGTCTCACTGAAGAAGATTTTCTTTCAAAGAATATTCAGTGCTGACACTTTTATTTTACCTGTACTCTTACAAACGCCAACAAACAAGTCTTTTTTTATGTATAACATTGTGTGGGCCCCTGTGGATCTGCTTGGTGAAGTGTTCTGGAACTCGAGATGAATAAGATCCAATTGTCTTGTTTGATGAGTTTATGCTGTATGAAGTAATTTGGTTGACTTTCATTAACATCATGTACAAAGGGTAGCAATTAAAACTGTATTATCCCTCATCAATAGATTTTTAAACTCTTTCAATAACTTAAGGAGTGCATTCTTCTAGAAGGCTAAGTTCTTTGCTTGTCTTTGTTGTTCCCACAGAAAATGACAAGCCTCCATACTTTGAGTTTAGACCACAACATGTTTGACTTCATTCCAGAGGGAACATTTTCCCTCCTCCAGAAGCTCAACAGGCTGGACGTCACTTCTAATAAACTCCAAAAGCTGCCACCAGACCCGCTTTTTCAACGAGCACAGGTACTGTCATTGATTTCCCCAACATTCAAATCCTTCAAAAACTTGATGGTTGAAACTCCAGATATGAATGACAGGATGATCTGACGTCTTTAATTTATTTAATTACGTTTAGACCCCTCGATGTGTGTGCAAAAATGAAAAGTTCTTACCAGCTATGAATTGTATCACTGTGCAGGAAATATAATAGGCAACTTGCAGTTAACGGATAACATACAGCGAATACACATTATGGAGCACTACACATAGATATACAGTATATCACATATATATCACATAAAAAGGGCTAAACATAATAACTTCACTTTCTGACAAGCTGATGGTTTTAATTGTGCCTGATTTAACTTCCTGCATCCCTGGTTTAGACCCACTTTTCTTATTATTTCTTCTCACAACATATTCTTTCACGTTTCAATAAGTTCCTAATGTTAATTGCTTTGCCAATTGTGAGACACATGACACCACGGGTTAGAGAATAATTTATTTTAATAGTCTTTAGTCATCTGTTAATTGGAAAAGGGGCCAGGTAGCAAACAGTGAATATGTGAAACTGAGCATGAAGGAATTTTTTTTTTCCTGCACAGCAAATTTGAGCTCAACTAATCACATTTTGAAATTGTTTCACACTGCCAGGTCTTAGCCACTTCAGGGATCATGACCCCCACTTCTTTTGCGCTGTCATTCGGCGGGAACCCTCTCCACTGTAACTGTGAGTTACTGTGGCTGCGAAGACTGAACCGGGAGGATGACCTGGAGACGTGCGCTTCACCCCAACACCTCTCCGGTCGATACTTCTGGTCCATTCCTGAAGAGGAATTCCTTTGCGAACCTCCTCTCATCACCAGATTCTCCCATGAGATGAGGGTGCTTGAAGGGCAGAGAGTTGCACTCAGGTATTTGTTTTTTAAACTGTGAAACATAAAAGAAAACTATTAAAAACACAAGTAATCTGTAACTCTTTCAAAGTTTCCTCATGAGCCTAAAAACACTCTTTGCTCTGCAACGATTTGCTAACACATACTTGTGTTCTAATTGTTATTCAAATTCAGTAATCAGTCTTCAAGCTGCTTAAGAATACAACAAATACTTTCCAATATTCAATGAAGCACAAGACAGGGGCATCACACTCAAATTTTAAGCAGACTGAAAGTAAATGAAGACACCAACAGGTCTGAGATATGATGATTATTTTATTTGCATATATATTGGTCACACCCTTCCACTCATGATAGATGTTATTTTTACAAACATGGAATAATAATGAAATTGGGATGGGGGGGGAATCAATGAGATGCTATTATCCTGTTTCCCTTATTGTACCTCGTTCTTAGACTATGTATGGAAGGGTTCAACGTCAGCATCATTTTCATGAGTTAAACATCAAGAAGCCATGGAAATGCAAGAAGTCATGTAAAGGTGTTAATGACACATTTTTAAATCTTCTTGTCCCTTCTCACAGTAGCTTAAACTTTACATAAATTGAAGCGTGCTTGTTCAAATCAAAAATTGAGGAGGAGGAAAACAACACTTAGAGGATTGGTTATAATTTTTCACACTGGCCTCTTGTCTTTCAAATGTTTCTAATTTGGACAACTTCAAAGTACTTTATAATGTCAAATTAGCTTAATTTGTGGATTTGTCACTAAGAGTTGTCAAAAGCTGTTTTCAGCACCTTTGTTGACAATAAATTACTAAAGTAATTTCTGTTGACAAAATTTCTCAGGTTGTGGCATCTCAGAGGTGAAGCTATAATTGTTTTCTTTGCCATCTAAGAAAGTGAACCATGCAATATGGTATTTAAATTAAAAACCAAAGTGCACCCACGTTCTCTAAAGCTCTTTCCCTTCCTAATATCGACCATGTCCCACTCAGTACTGGTAAGAATATTTGGTGGCCAACACGTTCACAAAACAAATCCCAGTGTAATTAAAATGGTTATTGTAAGACTCTAATGTGTACGGCGGACACAGCAGATAATGATCTGTGTTTTCCCTCTCAGTCTGGGAACGGTTGGTGGAGAGAACCCAAAAAAAGTCCCTCAAGCAACACTCTTCTTCTGCACACTTGACCCCATTCTGTCTTGTTTCTGACATATTCTATACTGCTTTCATTTCTGACAGGTGTAAGGCAAGAGGAGACCCAGAGCCAGCTATCCACTGGATTTCTCCTGAGGGCAAACTGGTCTCTAACTCCTCCAGAACGTTGGTTTATACCAACGGGACTCTTGACATCCTCATCAGTACTGTGAAAGACACCGGCTCCTTCACCTGCATCTCCTCCAACCCTGCTGGTGAAGCCCATCAAACAATAGACCTGGTTATTATCAAACTCCCACACATCTCCAACAACACCAACAACATCCAGGAGCCCGACCCGGGATCGTCGGACATTTCCACGTCGACCCGAGGCGGAGCCAATGGGAGCAATGTGACGGGTGACGTGAAGGGTGGGGTGGATAAGCGGGTGGTGACAGCTGAGGCCACTTCATCCACGGCTCTTATCAAGTTCAATTTCCAGAGGAATATTCCAGGCATCAGGATGTTCCAGATACAGTACAATGGGAGCCAAGATGACTCGCTGGTTTACAGGTAAGACTGACAGAAACGCTGCATCATCCTGAATTTTCACACAATGGAATCATTAAGGTTGATGTGGAGGCAGAGCATTACCCCAGTCTGTGTTGTTCAGATTATATTACAGTAGATTAGATGAAACTTTAATTATCCTGTTGGGATCTGTTCACTATGAGAGCACTTTATGAGCTCCATAAGGGTTCTACAGGAGCAGTAAAAGGGGAAACAATAAGGGCTATAAGGGTGCTACAAGAGCACTAGAAAGGGTGCTACAAGGGAACTAAGAGGTTGGTATGAGGTAACTATAAGGGTGCTGTGAGGGTGCTGCTGAAATGCTTTGCTCCTGTACTTAAAAATAGGCTTCAGGAAAATAAAAATAAACTCTATACATATGCACAATACCTAAAATTAAATCTGTCCATCCCAGCTGTTATTGGTTGAAAGGCATGGTACATCTAGGCAACCGATAAAGAGTGTATCCCTGCCTCTTGCCAAAGGAAAATGCCAATAGAGTTTAATTACCATATCCTTGCTACTGATTGCGTCATTCTTAAACAAGCATTGGTGAAGACTACAAGAAATGTTTTTAGGCATATGGTATTTGTCATGGTTTATTTCAGTCCAACAAGTACAGCTGCTAGGACAGCTAACCCTAACCCTAACCCAACAGGATGAATGACATCAGCACAGAAATAAAATCAGGATGGAAAGCAAAGACGGAAGATAAACATCGATGTGAGAAAGTTCATGATCCTCAGGCAAACCCGACAAAACAAGGCAGCAAAACTCTGTGCTGCTGACTCACCAGGACGGCCTTGACAGGGAGAGCTCCGCTGGTCCTTCTTGACTTTTGCTGTTTGCTCTGGATTACACAGATTACATCGATCTCACAGGGAATGATTGTTATTTGAGCTAAATATTTACTCCGGCGAAATGGGGGAGAGGGAATTAACAAACACACAGAGGCTTTTCGTAGGGAAATCTGCCAGTATTATCTGCCTTTCATATCATTGCTAATCCCCTTTATATACATACTTCATCATCATCATCAAGATCTGAGGGAGCATTGAAATTGACCGTCTGGGTCATGATGATGACAATGCTTAAGGTTGTTATCAAATCATTCTCTGAAGATTGATTTTATCACTATGAGCTTTGAATTTGAATTTCCCTGATCTCTTACAGTGGTTATCTCTCTGTGAAGATACCAATGTATAATTAACAAAGTGCCATCTTTCATGGAAAAATCGGTTGGTATTATTATCCTTTTTATATTCATTCAAAATCTCTGCAAATAATTCACCAGCATTTAACCCCCTGATAGGATTTTAAAGATGTCTGTCTTTCAGATATAAAGTTTTATCTTTTCAATTCAAGATAGCTTCTCATTCTCTTGTACTCTCTTTAATTAACAAAGGCAGAACAAAGCCTTTGTACACATCTTGGATTATTATTAAGATTTAGGGTAGTTTCACATTAAGGACCAGGGCCCGGATACGAGTGCGCTTGACCCCAAAGTCTGGTTCTTTCGGTTTGGTAACTGTGCCCGAGTCTGCTTGAAGATGGTGCTCTGGGGCCAAATCATGTGTACTCAAGTACGGTCGGCGGGAGATGTGAACACAACCGTGCTATATTAGGGAAGGCCACTATATGACATAAGTCCAAACCTTTGGTGGCTCCTATCGCTTCAAAAAAATGTCTTATCACAGCACAGGCCCATTTCGTCCTCTGAGCTAAATGATTGATGTGGAAGTAGAAAAAGAGTCAATGTTGGCGTCTCAGAAATGACTAAAACATCCACAGTTAGCAGGATGGACTCCGCCCATGAGTGGTTGCCATGGTTGCTTCTACTTCTTTCTGCTTTTTGGCGGATTTGCAAACCAACTACGAGCTGTGTACATACATAAGTGTACTCGGGTACGGAACGATGTTACTAATATGAACGCAGACCAGCAAGGGAGGGGGAGAGCAATCGTGCTCGGGCACTCTAAGAAACAATCGTGAAAACACCATTAAAGATTCTGGTTGGAAAGAACTACGTTGTAAAGCATGGTGGCCTAAAAGAATCCTGTGTGTCTTCCTGTCTTTTCATGCCCCCTCCTCTTACTCTGGCTCCCCTGTCCTCTTCTTTCCCCCCCAATATTAAGCACCGAAGTCATTTGAGTTTCTCTGTGTTATTTTGCACACCTCTTGTCTTTAGATAGCCAATTGATTTCCATTCAACACCTCCACTGGCAAAAAGAAATGACCCATTGATCCGTTGTTTTGTTTTTTTTACATTCAATAACAGAGAAGAGAGGCAAGAAAGGACAGTGATGGAGATAGAAAAAAGAAGGAGGGGAGGGAAAATATGTGTGGGAAACATTAGGGGGAGAGTTCAAGGAAAGGGAAGGAGGGAAATAGAAAGGTATACAAAGGGAAGACTGGTTGTATTGTCGCAAACAGGACGCTTACATTCAAGTTCAGTAAGAGTTTATTGATTTGGTGCACATCTCTGCAGCACCCCCCCCTCCTTGTTCAGCACGATGCTTTGGGTCTAGGGAGGGATGCTGGATGTATTTTCATTTTTCAGCTGTCTGTGTAAACAGATGAGTGTGTGACAGTTTAAAGCTTTCACAGGCATGTCCTTCCCATTATGTGAGCCTATCCTGGATGTATAATAGGTTGCACATCTCAATTGCAGCAGTAATATAACTAGATTCTGTATTGATTCCAGCAAAGAAACCCAGCCCACCTCTGCTCCCAGTGGGAGGTCAGTGTCAGCTACAGAGCACAATGCTGCATGCAGCTGGCAGGGATTCTGTGTCTCAAGGACACCTGAGACAGGCAGATGTTTACTGATACAGTGCTGATGTTTTTCACACAGGTTCTCCTGCTTAAGTTTTGTCTTTTCTTTTCAGAAGGCAGGTCTTATAGCCAGTTTGTCATAGCAGTATACACCCCTCAATATAATTAAAAAGATAGAAGAAAGGCTGACTAACTAATCATTTCAATCTATTATTTAAACTGCTTATTATTTAAACTGCTTAACTGTCTTAATGTTTCACAGGCTGTCAGAATGTTTCAGTCAAGCATCTTCAAGGCCAGTCATTTTTTTTTTTTTTTTAACCTTTATTTAACCAGGTAATGACCCATTGAGATCAAGATCTCTTTTACAAGAGTGACCTGGCCAAGAGGGCACCTTTTAAGACCTACAAAAATGTGAACTTACTTGTATTATGAGTCAATAAATGTAGGGTTTATTTTTCGTTATCTGTAACAGGTGTCATAAGTACAATCTAAAAGACAGTTGTTTTCTATGTTCAACAATAGGGCTACTTAAAAAGATATAAAGTAATATTAAATACCGTCATATGTGTCACACATTAAGACCTGATGATGTACTGTTTGGTGTTTCATTTGGTACTGGTCCACTCAAAGGACAAAAGTGTGATGCAACAAGTTAGTCGTGAGCCCTGCAAATAAAATGCAATCAAAATCTCTGTTATAATCACAAACTTTCCCAAAATGACTCAGCCTTTGTGAACTTTGTGAACTACACAATGACTACCTCTAAGTCCCTCATTCACAGGGAAAGTAAATTTGTCTTGTTCTGTGGCTTCTTTTCGAGAAAATATATGATCGTAAATTGAGTTAAACAATTTTTTGTATTTAGTTGTGTCTACAAGAAGAGATTTATGGAGCACTGCATTTTCATATTCATTTCTGCACTACAAACATCCAGCTCGTGTTACATGTACTTTTATACAAATGCCTCTCATCCATCTGAAAACTATAAAACCAAAGATATTTATTTTATCTAGCTTAAAGAAAGCAAACTATAAAGGATCTCGATTAAGTCAGGTCAGGTCAAGGAGATAATGTTCTGACCTTTCACAGCAGAACTCTCTGGCCCCTCACACCTCATTGGTTTTTATTGAACAATGAAAGCCTTGTCCATGATGATAATAAAACTCACTGGCAGCATCTACGACCATAATGCGGCCACAAAATGGAATGTGCTCTTATTCAGATGTAGACCAAATTAGTGCACTTACTTAAGGGTTTGAATGAATGCAAGTCATTCTGGGATTAGAGAAAGAATGACTTCCAAATGATAGCCTTAATACACATCTTGTTTAGTAAATAAATAAAAAATCATACTTAAGTGTTTGTTACTTGACTAGAGAGACAAAAAATAATTTTATTTTTAATTAGTGTAGTAGTATATTAGGTAAGTTTCAACATTACAGTCTGCAGTTTTTCCTAGCTAGCTATTCTGCAAGTGCATCTTCTCTGGATGCCAGAGTTTGAAGAAAAGCTATGTTTAGCTTTTTTAAATTCACTAAGGAAAGAGGAAGTCAGTGACCTAAAGTTCTGAAGTTGATTCTAGCTTTGGTGGGTCAAACATGCAGGGATGGACAGGTCCAAATGGAGCAGCCAGATGAACCCTCCATTAGCCGGTCGTATCACTTTTTGACAGTTTTTCCAGCAAGCATGTTTTCAGTGCATTCAATGGACACGCCCATATCATCCCAGAGCAAAGATTAGTGCGTCCATGATTTTTCCTTTTTTTTTCAGTACTCAAATTTGGCCTGGTGCTTGATAATGGTGGATTCTGTAGTATAAAAACTTGAAATACAGGTTTTATTGCTTCACATGGACTTTAGACAAATGCTGCATGCCTAATTCAGTGAAGAACAGACGTAGAATTCATTATTTTTCCATCCTGTTCCTCATCTCATCTCATCTGACTTCTGTTCTGTTGCTTTTTTTTCCTCATATGTGCTTTCATTGGTTGTTTTCCACTCCAGTAGATCCATCAAGCTACAGGGGCTGGTTGCCATTTGCCATCAAGCAAATTGTGTGGCAAGCTTTTTTATGAGGCAACACAACAGGGGAGAGGGGCGGGAGGGAGGGGGGTGAATTTAGGCCTTTAAAAAGACAGAGTCTCTCTCTCTCGCTCTCTCTCTGGTGGGATGCAGTTTATCCTTGCCAATGGTCCCTGCGGCCCAGGTATTACACCTTGCTCAGTT